CTGTGGAAAGTTCAGCCATTTCACACTCAACTGATACCGTATTAAACAGTTCACCAAATTTCCAGTTTTCACCATGATTATCACTATACAGTGAGAGTGCATACGATTTACAACAGCAACCGAACAAACATGCAACTGGTTTACAACAGCAATGCAAGAGGCAAGTACTTGTGCAATAAGCATAAACTGGGATAATCAGTCTACCACTCTCTGTTTGAATCCCATGGCCTGGCCCAACAGCAAATGTGGACCAGTTTTTTATTTCACTCAGTTCGTACGTCAAATCGGTCACATCGCTCCAGGTTTCTCCGAGATCCTCACTTGTGATGTAGCAGAGACGGGTCCTGTTGTCATAGCATTTTCTTTGGTACATTTCAGTGATACCGTCTTCAACACAGATGAAAAACAGGAAAAGTTTGTTGTTGGCTTTGTTGGCTTTGTCATACGATATCACCGGGCAGGGGTTCATTGGACGGTGTCTTTTAATAAGTGCCTTTTCCACCTCTTTGAGCTCTGACCACTAAAAGAGAGATTGTTCAGAAGTAAATAAAACAGAACAGTTCAAAACAGGACTGTAATTAACAAGTAATTTAGAACTGAAATGGCTGATTATCACTATTACCTCAACCGTCTTCTTACAGCATCCCTCCTTGATCTTTCCTGTTCTCATAACCAGCTTTTCCGCACTTTCATCCTTTGAAGTCTTCCTCTGCTCTGCAAAGGCAAATAAAGTTTTACTTTCTTTCTCATACAGAAGAGCAGGGATCCTGTAAACACATTGAGCAGCTTCATTAGATTCAAAGACAGGTTGTTTCTGCAGCTGAGCTGTTGTTGAATGTCCACAGCCCATGTTTGCTGTCCTTGTGTATAAAATGGATATTAAATTACAAAGAAGCCTTGCTGGGTTTATCTCTGCAGTCCTAGAATTTGATGTTGCTTTGACTTTTATAGTCTGGCTGTTAGAGAGTGTGGATGAGGGAGGGATCTTTGTTTTTATCACAGATCGATGGTCATTTCTGAGGAAATGATTCACATTTCATTGAACTCCCCCATTCCCTTAACAAATTAAATAGGCAAAACCCATCTTTCATCATGCATGTCAGGAAAACAACCAGAATGAAAACCTTTAATAGCTGTTATG